GAACCAAATCGATGACTGGCGCCGGCCTAAATATTACCGTGTTAGTGGGCTTGTTATATATCGCAATTAGGTATCTACGAATGATTTAAAGGTGGTGAATCAAGGTGGAATTTGCAGAGGAGAGAAGCACCGAAATTTAGATCTTCTGATTTTACTCTGAGGATTGATCCGCTTCGTGTTCATTTGACTCAAACGTCACTTGAGGTTTTTCGCCTGCGATCATAAGTTTCCTACCATTGGAACTGCTATAGGTGTTAAATACTACATTTTGAGGAGGGGGGACACCTTGAAATGAAGCTGTCATACGTAGATTATATTACTTTTTAAGTATTTAAGTTCATAGTGCACAAGTAAAAAAAAAATATTTACCTAAAAATGGACCTCGAAAATTGAATTTTTCGATTGTAGGATCTTCTTTGAGAGTAACTTTGATCGACTTGTCTAAAAGAATAACTAATCAATTTTTTGTTCTGTTCTCGTGACTATACGCGAAAAAAAAAACTCACCCTCCTTATTATTTTGATGTTTACGTTTATGCTTATCGGGATAATGACCCGATTCTCGATCGACTTCTGCTGGAAAATTCTTTTCGTCTTTATTCAGATCTCCAACCTTTGGGTTTCGCTTTTTCTTGGAAGTTTTGCCAGGAGTGAAAGATCTTTCGGAAACTTCAAAAAGGGCAATTTTTATGAGAAGAGCTGTAGATCACGCGCTCACGATTATTTGAAATTAATTTTTTTTCATGCACCTTTGGGGGATTTATTAATTAGGAAGCTTTCTTTCCCGTAGGAATTCCGAGGAGTTATAACATCGTCCTCCATATTTGCGCTAATTCACAAAAAAAAAAAAATAATACTAATAATTTACTAATTTGTAAAATAATGGTGAACCAAGCGCCTGGTACACATTTACATATTAACGTCGCTAAATCCAGATATATCATTCCTAATCCGCTTAATCTGCCGACTTACATCAAACTTCTTTTCAAATTATGGGTGTCACTTGGTACAATTTTAGTCCGATCCTTTTTTAACAGAAAAAATCCCTTGGTTCAAACGCGAATTAAAACTTGAACAATGTAATATTCATTCCATCATTTCTTCAGTGTACTCCTGTTTAAATGCGGAAATGGTCCGCTTGCTCTTCAAGAATTTCATTCAAAGATGATAGAAGTTTTCGCCTGCCGTAATCCTGAACGATGGGCCATAGCTGCGAAATTATTCTTTGGCACCAAAACGATTGCCGGGGGTAAAATGAAAATGGCGTATTCGATACTTTACAATTTAAGTCCCACTAGAATTTTTTTGTTGTCAGAAGACACAATTGTTGAAGCTGAGCGTGAGATGGAAAGCATTCTTCTTAAATTAAAAAACTTGTGGACTCACAGACCTACCGTGAATTTTGAGGTTCGTAAGAAAAAAAAAAAAAAAAAGAAGTTGTAAATACGCAGAAAGTCAATTTCTCCGATTTTTTCTGGTAGGGTAATGCTTATAATGTGGGCGACTTTATTGTTCGTGCAGCTAATCCAGTATCTGCAAATGTATCCTATAAAGGCATGCTAGTTGAGGTATCATCTCTACCCAAATTTAACCCAAATTTAATTCAGTGATTGTTTTCTTTTATTAAAAGTTTGTATGCTTCTCCTGACAGGTTGAATACCTTCCTGCCGTTCATCCGTACGTTGCTAATTCACTTTTACGCGAATTTCTCACAATGATCGTTCCTCCCACTATGGAAGTTGTGCAGTGGGAGCCAAATGAAGAAAATTCTTATTCTAAAGTTGGTCTATCCGAAGAGGTCTTTACAAGAACACATACCAGTTATCAGTACATTATGCTGTTCAAAAAGGAGAATTTATTGTTATAACGATTGAGTCGCGTGGTGTCGTACCATTTAAACATGGTTTATTCTGTATATTGTATTCAAATTGATTCACACAGTTTATTTTTAGAAAAAAGAATTTACTATTATACCAATAGTGCTTGACGAATACCCTTTAAATAGAATTTTTTTTTCTTTTTTTAGATGACTTCTTTGACTTTAAATCTTCTGTGGCTTTCGTCTTTTTCACTCCCATTATTTGAGCATTATCTGTAATGAGAAATTGATCGTTAGAAATAAATTGTTTAGGAAAATCGATGTAGTCATGTTTTCGGAAAACTTACGTGATGGTTCATCTAACAATCTGTCGGCCAGATCACGCACGATGCCACTCGTCAAGTATTTAGTAGAGACCCCGCGAGGAATCAATTGCTGTGACAATAATTCTTTTAGTTGAGCTTTAAGTGATCGAATTCGATCTTTCTTATTATGTTGATTATTTCTCGATCCTTCGTTATCGCCGCCGTTCTTGTTATTTAGACTAATGTGTTTGGAATTGTTAATCTCGGGAATCGGAAATAAAATCGACAAATGATATGGTTGACTTACAGATCTTCATGCAATTCTACCCCTAATTCTTCGGCTGCTTTCTTCAACCAACCATCGTCGTGACTGCTCTGAAATGTTTGTCGTGTTAGTTAATGATATTAGTGACTATAATCAATGACTTAAACTGATATAGACCTTTTGTAATTTGTGTTCTTCTTGATCTATTTGCTTCGCTAAGTTAATTCTTTGCTTCATAGAGCTTATTATTCCAGCATCAATCGGAAAATTTGGAATATCATCGACTATTCCGCGAAAAGAAGGAAAAGAGGAATTTAATTTTACGTGCAAAGTAGAAATCCTTAAGAAAAAACAGGGATGTTACCTTTTTTCAATTTTCCAAGAATCTTTCGGTACAAGGATATTTCCTCAGGACTACATAACATCAAACTGATACCTTCTCTACGCGCACGAGCTGTACGACCGCTTCTGTGAATATATATCTAAAGATTTTTAAAAGTTCTATTAGAAATGACTACAATTTGGGTTAATAGATTGGTATCATTAATAGTTACATCTCCGGAATGTGGCAACTGGTAATGAATCACGTGATCGACAAGAGGAATATCCAATCCACGAGCAGCCACATCGCTGGCAACCATCACGGCTTTGGGGTTTTGTTTGAAACTTGAAAAACAATAATAGTGCGAGTTATGTGCGCTGATTGATTTATATCAGATGAATGGTAAGTAATTAGATTCATCATTTACCGATCCAAATTTTTTAGCCGTTGTCGTTGCTGCATTTGTGCGTGAAGGCCGTAAACTTCAATATTCAATAACTTCATTATTGGAACAATTCGACGGATGGCATCAATACTATTAACAAATATGAGGGTTCGACCAGGATATCTCGTGACGAAATAGTATACATATAAATCCTGGGTGTTTTACAGTGAATTTGGTTCATTAGAATTATCGAATTAAGAATTAATTCAAAGATATCATACCTTATCCTTGGTTAGGCATTCAATCTTGGATTCTTGGAGAGTTTCCACAACAGACTCCTTTGGTGTAATGTCTATGAACACGGGATCGGGATCATTAAATTCTAACCTTTGCATCAACTCGGCTTTTGAAACAGGAGACAAAGGAGTTAGTACAATTCAAATCACCAATTTAAAAATCACGCTATCAATTACCCATTGTTCCTTTTGACTCGGATTCCATCTTCTGAGGTTTATTATTTTTTCTTCGTTTTAAATTTTCTTTCAAATTGCTATCTAAGGTGGCTGAAAATATAAATGTTTGACGTGAAGGACCTGAAATGCAATTTCGTTTTTTTAACGATCTCGTCATTTGATATACATTTGACAATGATTAGACATAATTTTATGCGTACCTTGCATATTCTCCGTTATAATTTTATTTTCATTCCAATCACTTGTGTTCCTAAATGAATTTTTACGTGTTAAAATTCAATTTCTTTTTTTAGGGGACGAGACATGCATACTCACTGTCGGCTTTGCGATAAAATGGTGAGAATGTGATTCAATTCTTTGAAATGACCAGTTTCGAGCATTCGATCCGCCTCGTCTAAGACTAGGTATTTAATGTGGCGAATGTTTTGAAGATAATCATCGCTCTATATTAATTAACAAAACTATTATGATGACTTCGAAGGAGTATCAGTAAGAGCGAAATCACCGGAATCATTATACCTCCGAAAGTAGTTCCCACAGTCGACCAGGTGTTGCGACGATTATGTTAGGCATTTTTGCCAACAATCGTTTTTGCTTTTGTATGGACATGCCACCCACGACAGCTATTATCTGGATTGACAGAAATGTCTCGTCATCAACAAATGTCATAAGAAAACAGAATTCTTGGTATTACTCTCACCTTAACCGCACCACTCTTACTTATATTTACAAGGTGTTCCTTAATTTGAATCGCCAATTCTCTAGTGGGGGTTAAAATGAGACCCGTTAGTTGACCTTTGACATTCGATCCCCTATTCTTAATGATGTAGTCCAAAATCGGGATTCCAAAAGCAAGTGTTTTGCCGGAGCCTGTTTCTGCAGTACCGACAACATCTCGTCCAGATAATCCGAACGGAAGGGCATTTTCCTGAATAGGCGTCGGTGCACTGAATTTCAGGGACCTTAGTTCATCCAAGATGTCAGATGAAAGATTGAACTTTTCCCACGCATCTGTCAAGTTATACAAATTTAAGTGATAAAACTTTAATGATCCGGGTCATACATTCGGCATTCGTACCTATATTAACCTTTTCCGGTTCCTTACTCGCTGATTCCATTGTGATATTTATATGCTTATTATCCTGAGATTTTTTTTCTATTGTATTACTAGTCTGATCAACTTCGATCTGAGGAACATCATTTTCTTCTTGTTCCGAATTTTCTGTTGATTGAGGATTTGACCGCGATTCAGAATCTCCAGATATGGTTGGATTCTTCAAATTGTTTTCGTCAAAGTTATCCAAATCATAGTACTTCAACGATTCACTAGCAGATAGTGGTTCTTCGGGTTTTGCGGGAGCATTTTTTTTTATCCTTTTTGACGGATATTGATCACTGTGGACTTTCTGTTAATTGCATTTGATTAACAAAAATTAACCGATCGCTTTTAACATGAAGGTCGACCTGAAGGAAGGTTCAATCGCATAAAATCTGACCTTGAATTTGATGGTATTTCCCTTGGTGGCGGTTTCTTCGTATTCGATATGAACGTTGTCTACCTCTTCTAAACACAGGAAGCCGCTTAAATTCTCTTCGTCCGCCACAAACGTCGATTCTGGAACTTGCACTTCAGACCAGTCGAGGTCATTAATGCCTAAAAAATCATTTTTTCTACTTCTTCTTTCCACAATATCTTCTTGTCCCGAGGCAGTTAACTTTCGCTTCTTCGATTTGGTTGGATTTGTTAACGGCTTTTCTTCAGAAGCTGTCGACGAAACAAAATGCTGGGACCCCTTTTCTCGAATTCTGACAGAGGCTTTATTTTTCTTGTGATTACTACGGCGATCCCGTTTATCTTTTTTTCTATTTTCGTTCTTCGGGCTCGGATTATCTTTCTTGACCGCACAAATTTTATTGGAAAAATTCGAACGTTCTTCGGCAGACATTTTTAAAATTTCGAGTTTGATAGTATGGACGAATTTTTGGAGATGCATTAAAAAAAATTTAATCTGCCAATCAAAACGTGTCACATGCTGATGCCGAAGTTTAAAAATGGACCAGATTTGGATTAGGGGCTTATCTTTTGTCTCTCTGTCGAATCGTACGTCTGATGCCTGATCCAAAAGTTTCTTATGCTCCCATAAAACGTGGGAGTACGATCAATATTAACAAAATAAATTCACGAACTTTCTCCAGGTGAGGATCTGCTTCTGAGATTAATCTTTGATTGGAATAAAGAGGTTTGCTTTTGATTGATGGTTGCAATTTATTATGCAGCTATTAACTCTCCGTGAGCAATGAAGGGGAGGTTGGTTTTACAAAGTGGTCGATTCAAAGGCTTACTTTAGTTTAATTTCGATCTATTTTGTTTCGCTTCCCTTCCGAAATCTCCTCAATACAAGCGTACCATTTCGACTCCTTGTGCTACTTGCTTGTTCGAAGATAATATTCGCGTTCTCAACGCATGTCACACGCGAATGGTTTCTTCTCCATGGGGCGCCTGCATCTGTTGTTGTGTTTGGAGTGTTGGGAGGATCAGGGCTATTGTTGTTGACTTGGCAAAATTTCATGGGCAATCATCGAACATTAGTGAGCATGAAGGTAGGATTGAACCTTGTCTTGAAGTGATCCGTTTCTGCTTCAAACCCAGTCATTAATCTTATTTTTTTTAGTGGCCGAAAATTGCTTTATATACATTAATATTTACCGCACAAATATATTTCTGGTTTATTGGATTGTCCAAGTTAAAATCTACAAGGTGAGTAAACTATGGCTTGGATCTTTACTTTCTATTTTTCTTTTTTTTTTTTTTAATATCCTGCTTTCTAATATAATTTTAAGGACCGTGATGTTAACACAATATGCAGACTTGTGGAGCATGTCTTTTGTAGCGTACTTTGTTGGAAACAATTCATCATCTAATTCGACATCGACGGTAGGTTTCGTGTAACTTGTTTTATCCTTATGATTTACCCAGATTGATTCGTGTTTTTAATTTTCATGTTTGTCTATTTAGTCCCGGGGCGTTCATTTTATAATTTCGACTGTTGTTTTATCTTTTATTGCAGATTGTACACATATATTAAGTAAATAAGTATTTTATAATTATAATTATTTTTCGCGTTTTCCGAATCAATTTATACGTTAAAATATTTGTGCAGTAGAAACTCCCACAAAATCGACAATACTATTGGCACAAGATACGGACAATTTCAGAAAAAAGGGTTTTCATGAAAACAGCCCAATTAAGAATCTGATCATTGGGTATATTTTCATTCTGGGTTCTGTTTGTTTGTCTGGATACAAACGGACGTTGGGAAAGAAGTTGGCCGCTGA